TTTCATTAATCCTTTCTTTACTTCCTTTTGTATCGTCACAAAATAGATAAATAAATTTAGGTAGAATGTATATTGTTAAAATAAACTTACGATTTCAAATAAACATTTAACTAATAAGTATTTTAACCAGAGGTGATCATTTAATCCATTTTTTACAGATATTTTAACAAAGTATGAATTAGATACATGTATTTTCATTTCAAAAACTAGTTATTTTCCACAAAAGTGATTTGCTCATATTTTCCATTTTCATGATCTAATTTTCAATGGAAGGGTTAATTTATATATGCAAGGTCACTTGATATTACAACAGCCTATTTCAAGATATAGAACAATGTATGTAACGCGAATTTCCGTGTTCAGTTTAAAAAAAAAGAGTTTTCAGCTCCTTTTCCTATCCTCCAGCTTTGATAAGAAGAGTTTACCAAGGGGAGCCATAAGCATCTAATAAAGTATGAAAAATTAAATTGTTGTTAAATCAAAAAAATGTTTTTCATTGTTTTATATTCTGCAAAAGTTTCTGGAATTTGCGTTTTGTTTTAACAATAGCTAATTTTCTGAATGGGAATGTGCTAAATAATTCAGTTAAAAATTATCTATGGTTCTATGCATAATACAAAAGAAAAAAATAAATTTGGCGTTTTCAATTTTTTTTTGAAAATATTTGGAGTATATTTTAGAATATTAAGCCTAGTTCCATAGATCAACTATTGCTTTAACCATATGTGGTCATGTAACATGTGTATTGTACATTTTATTTTTATCTTTGATGAAAAAATCTGTTTCTAAATTATATTTTTCTGTAACTGAATAATAAAACAATGAAGTTTTTTTATTTTATTAGGATTTGTAAAGACTAAGCCTGCTAACTGCCCTATAACACAGACTGTTCTAGTAGTTAAGCTAAGCCAACAGATTTAATGCTTCATCCTACTATATACACTGTTCATTCATTTTTTGTTTCTTTTAGAATTAAATAGAAAATGATACATATTCTTTTCTTTCTTTTGGTCCCAGTTTGACTTTTAGAAATGAAAAAAAGAAGTATGAAGCTGTCCCATTTCCCCCACACTGAATATATGCAGATCTTATCTAAAATAATAGGATTCCCAACATATATCAGTAAACAACAAAAATATTTAGAAATTGTTTATATATTGAAAATGTTCTGATAAAATTTCATAGCCAACTGTAAAATTGTGTCAATTACTGATAATGTTAGTTTGATCTCAAGTTTAATAGATTTCAGTTTAAGTAAAGCTAGAGTATAGAGGGAAAAAGTGTTTTCAATATATATGCAGGGTACACCCTGTTGCATTCAATGTACACAAATACAGTACACATACAATATATGCTAACTCACAGAACAAAGAAATGGCAGTATACACTTTTTTTTGAGCAAATAGCACTCTATATATATTCTCTACTCTGCAGCTATTAGACTTTATTGCAGATAAAATGTTACTTATTAAAATTCACTAAAAGATAGAGATGGTAGTGATTAAATAATATTCTGTTGAAAAGAACATATTTTGAAGTTTAAAATTAAAATTGTTTATCTGTTATGTACAAAGCTAGAAAATAAACGTTTATTAAAAGTCAGTTTTAATGGAAGCCATCCAAATTAATGGAGAATCACATACATAGATTATTTGTAACATCTAACAGAATGTACGTCTGCTGATCAATGGTTGGAGCAGTTTAAGTCAATTTTTGATGAAATGAACCAAACTTTATAAGTTAGAAGTTTATTGACTTATTATGTCTATAGATATGTAACTTTTTATATTATAACAATAATATTTTGTAAGAGAAAACATTTCAGAGTTTATTACTAAAATAATAATAAAAAGAATTCATGCATTGTATATTTGTTATGTAAAGGTAAAATAAAAGTTGAAAAAACCCATAAAATTTTCCAGTAGTTAGGCACATGGTAGCATTGTAGTTTTTATAATCTAATTCTTGGAGTAAAAATGTTTAGTTTCATTTCAATAGTTTTGTAAGTTTTACAGATATACTTTTGTTGTACTTTTAAGGGTAAGTCCATTTCAATTGAAGCATGGCTCATTCACAAGGATACTCTTGAAACCTTGATCTGGTCAATATGTAAATGGTGACATTTTTTGTAGAGAAATCTCTAAACGGTATCATTGTGAATGTTGAAAGATTTACAAGATTGCATAGAGAAAAACACATGGACAAATTTTAATTTAATTTTAATGTTTTTATACATTTGCATTTCTGATATTCTAAGAGTTGTCTAAAGCAATGCATTTGAATTCAATTAATCAATTTTTTGCTGTTTTTTATAAGGAATCTGTTTTTTAAATATGTTAATTTAGTTGCTCTGCATTAACAGTAAGTATAAATTTTAAAAGATTATTAACTAAAAAGAAAAAAAGATTGATAGACAGATAGATAGATAGATAGATATATGAAAACAGGTTGTGTTATGATGTGATTTTTTAAACCATGGTTTGTTTTTTGTTTTTATTTCTGTAATTGGCCTAATAGCCCCATCAGTAATCAGTATGCAGTATATTAAATATTGCTTATGCAAATTCTAACCATATTGGGCTTACATCCAAATGATTGAATTAATAATGTGTTTGCTTTGAATTTATCAATTTTTTACATAAGCATTTTCCCACACCCTTATAATATAATATAATACACAATATGATTTTCAAATTTGAATATATGAGGTATAATATTGGTTTATGTATATTCATATAAGCATATTTCTAACTAAACCAATTTTAAAATTTTTTATAATTTATTATTCAATACCTTAAAAAATGCAGAAACCCTTATTATGAATTTTTAGTCCAACCATTTAGATATATGTTAAGGTTCAACTGGTAAGAATCCAGAAAGCATAGTACATAGATTGCAAAAATAAATGTCAGCACACTAAATTTCCTTTAATTAAAAGTTTTGTGTTGATATAAAGTTCAGATCATAATTTAGGGGTTTCATACAATAACTATATATAACACTTTATTAAAATATAAGATGTTCTAAATATATTGAAATATAAGATGTTGTATATATATTGAAATATAAGATGATCTATATATATTGAAATATAAGATGTTGCATATATATTGAAATATAAGATGTTCTATATATATTGAAATATAAGATGTTGTATATATATTGAAAAACAAGAAGTAGAAAAAAGGAATTGAATCTTTGACATAGACTCTGATTTTTAATTTCTATATCTTTAAAACCAAAAGTAGCATACTGTAGTTTTTTCAAATTTTGAATTATGTTAGATCGAATAATCTAAGTTTGATATATCAAACCATCAGGCTGCAAAGATATGGGTATGGGAAAATTTGGGTTTGAGGCAAAGATCCAATTCCTTTGAGACAAAAAAATGATGAAATTATATGTTATTTTATTGTAATACAAATATAGCATGCTTTTAAAAAAAGGAGAAACACGGGAATCAAACAAAGTTGAGAATCAATGAAACCAATTAAGCTTAAAAGCATGTAGCTATGAATTATAAACAGCTAATTTAGCATTGGAGCATTATGCACTGTAATAATTAAACAGAATAATCAACATCTAATTTAAAGTAGTAGCATGATGCTTACTCTGTACCCCTGATTTAGTGAAATTGACTTGATCTTGCATGATAAAGTGCATACTAGCTTCATAAAATTTTCATATCACAACCTACAATGTTAAATAAATTAAAATAGATTTTTTAAGATTTATTACTAAATTTCTTTTTCAAAATGGCGACAAGAACTTGGCACAAACAATATACAGAATTATATTTCCGGAAAGGAAAGAGTATTTTGACATTGTAATCTAACTTTCTTAAACTTTACAGTTGCAGCTTTAGCAAAATTAAAACATATATGTTCACATTTGTAAAATCATATGAATACCCCCCCCCCCCCTATTTATTTCATTTAAAATTGTATTTAAAACTTTTATATACTAAAAATGTAAATTTTGAAAGATCTAAGAAAATGAATTATCCAAAACTCTAGGTATCCCATTATAAAATGTCTTTGTATATATACATATACTTCTAAAAGTATAATATTTTTGATAAACATACTTCTTTCTTGAATTCTACTTCCATTCAGGTATTTATGGTAAAGTAAAAGTAAACATTTTTACTTGTAAAGTACATTTTCACGCTTTAAGACAGACTAAACCAAAGTGCACACTTCATGTAGTTTAGAATGTTTAGGAAAAAAAAACAATTATGAAATTTTTAATCCTCTTATATTTGATTTTAAAAGTCCGTAATAACAATAGAAGTTTTTGGAAGATTATCCTACATATTACCCATTACTTTTTGTACAGATTCATCTTTGTGAATACATTTTAATGCTAATACATTTACTTACCTAGCTGCCCCCCCCCTCCCCCCAAACAGAAATTTAGAAGCCAGTGTAAAATTTTTGCCTTATAGTTTACAATGGCTTATACATGATTAGTTTAAGCTCTCCATATCACATATCTATTTATTTTAAAAAAATATATCTTATCTATAACCTTAATTAAAAAAATAGTCATTGTAGTTGGCATAATATTTTTGAAAAAGTAACTTAGCCAATACCCATAACTTTTTGTATTTGTGAACACATTTGAATACGAATAGACGCATGATTCTGTAAACCTCTTGTAAATGTCCCCCCCCCCCAAAAAAAATAAAAGGCCATACACCAGGGTTAGTTCTTGACTTAAAGCAAACAATGTTTATAATACATTATCAGTTTGTAATCTTATCAATGTTACTCTATGTGACATGTTAATTTGTTTTGGAATAATGGTCACACTTAACTTAATGATCTTATATTAACCTTTCAAAGTCGCTCCCCTCCCTAAATCAAACAGAAATTAATTAAGACACCATGCTTAATTGTTGATATAAAGTATACAATTGTGTTTACATGATTGTCTGTGCAACTCACGTCAGATTTTTATTTGTTTTAACAAACAAAATGGATATCTTATCTTTACCCTTGAATATAAAACAGTCAATGTAAGTAAGCTATGAAGGTGTATACTGTTCTTGTAATAGGGATAATATTCACCCTTGTCTCTTCACAAACCTTTGAGGTAACATTCTACAAGTTGTTAAACAGAAAAGAATACCAAGACTATAAAATTAATACATTTTAATGATTTCTTAAAGGTACATTTCTATCTTCAACTGAACTGCTGTTTAGACACAAACATGGCATAGCTAGATGAACCATATTCTATTGTACTCAAATTAATTGTAAATAAATTCATCAAACTCTTTGAATCACACAACTAATTTTTTGTGAATTTTTCCACCATGAATTTCTTTTTTAAATTTTCAAGTTTAATGTCTAATTTTCATGTGGCTAAAGTGAATGTTTGACTTTCTTTCAAGTGATTTCATTTTTGTTCAAAACGTTCTAATTCAATTTTCAAAAGATGAGTTTCATATATAATAAATTGTCAATTTTTACTTTGCCTTTCTTACTTCTTTCTTCAGTCAAAAAGTAATGTCACAAAAACTTTTCTCTATTTACCTTTTCTTCTGTTTAAGGAAAGACTACGAACTAATTTGAAATCTCTGCTGGATTCTCCAAATGATGGGTTCACTCTGGAATCTTTTCCTGCAGAGCTTTATGTGCTTCTTCCATATGCTAGACATCTGAATTTGATAGAGGGAAAGGAACTACCACAAGAAGCAAAGAATACTGCATGCACAACATGTATCGTAGCAGTTGAACTTATTAGAGATCTATTCATAGTTGGTGCTGATCCTGATCTCATGGAGGAAGCTGCCCTTGTAGTTTGTGATATATTTGAAATAGAGGATCATGAAGTCTGTAGAGGAGCAATCCACAATTATGTTCCACAACTTCAATATATTTTTACGCAAGGGAAAGGGACCAGTAGAGAGGCATGTGCCATACTTGTTGGAAATGATTGTGGAGCAGTGGACGAAGTTAATGCCTGGAGTGTTAAACTACCAGATATTGAGAAGCCTGTTGTTGTAGAGCCAGCACTCCCTGCTCCAGGTTCACCCACAAGGAAGATCCTTCAGCTTACAGATATTCATCTGGATCTCAGGTATGAAATTGGATCCAATGCTGCATGCGGTACTCCTAACTGCTGCATGAATGTTTCTGGAATAGCTCCTGATGCTGAATCAGCAGCTCAGTATTGGGGAGACTATAGATGTGACTTGCCTCATTGGACCTTCAAGCATATTCTTGAGCACATCAAAGATACCCATGGAGATGATTTCGAGTATATCATAAGTACAGGTGACTATCCTGCCCATGATATCTGGATTCAATCAAGAGAAAACAATTTAGCTCACAGCAAGAAAGTGGTTGATTTACTTAAAGAGGTCTTTCCTAACAAAACTGTATTTCATTCTCTAGGAAATCATGAAATATTCCCAGTAAACAGTTATCCTACGACCACTGTGGATAGTGCCAATGATCCAAGCTGGCTCTATGACACGCTTGGAGAATACTTTTTGGAAGCACATTCTGAAGCTTTAGAACAGTTTAGTGTTGATGGATTCTACAGTATTAACTATGGAACAGACTTCAAGATAATTGGCATAAACTCCAATATGTGTGAAAATATGAACTTTTTCCTCCTCTTGAATTGGGAGGATCCTGGAATGCAGTTAGCTTGGTTGATAGATGAACTACTTGAAGCTGAATTGGAAGGAAGGAAGGTTCATCTTCTCAGCCATATTCCACCTGGTAACGATGATTGTCTTGGCTCCTGGGGTAGAGAGTTCTCCAAGATTATAAGTAGGTTTGAGGGAACAGTCATGGCTCAGTTCTACGGGCACACTCACACTGATAAGTTCACGGTATTCTATGATACGAACAACAGTTCTAGGCCTGTAAATGTTGGAACTATTTCTCCAAGTGTAACAACCTCTGGAAACCCTGGATACAGGATTTACACAGTGGATGCTGGATATGAAGGAGCCTCTCATAGAATCTTAGGCCATGACACATATATCTTCAATTTAACTGCTGCTAATATAGCTGGACCTGACCAAGAACCAATCTGGTACAAGCTCTATTCTGCTCCACAGGATCTTGGCATGGAAAATCTATTTCCGTCTGAATATGAACAGCTGGTTAGAAGAATGGTTGTGGACGATGAACTTTATGAACAATTTTTAAGTTATTATAGCAAGGGCGATAGAAATAATCTACGCAGCAAATACTCAACACTTTGTCCCTTACTGACAACATCAAATCTGGACAAAAGCAAATGTGAAGAAATATTGGGCTCAGCTGAAAACTAATTTTGTATATCTTTTTTTAAATAAATAAATAATTAGTTTATTTTTAAGTTTCTTATTATCTCAATTTTGTTAATGGTGTTAATGGAAGATATTTTAAAAATTGCTAAAAGTGCCATTCATCAACATTTAAAATCATCAAAACATGTAAAAAAAACATCAAAATACATTTTTTAATTCATATTTTCTAAAAGTTTCATGCAATTTAGTGCAGAAAAATCAACAAATGTCACCATTACTCTAAAGCACATCTGTTTATTCTCTTACATTTTCGATTCTATGACAAATTCGTTATTTAATTTTTAAAAACTTGTTGTGTTTAAACAGAATGTTGCCCAGCCCTACACATACATACTGTGCAAATATCTAAAGTAATGTATTTTCAAGGGATATTTTCAATGCAGATTATGGCTGATTGTATATCTTGCAAAGTTAAAGAAATATAATTTGCTCCGCTCCAAACTATGTTTTCTTGACAGAACTCTCTGGGACTTAAACCGGTAACATTAGTGGATCTAAGATTTACTAAGAAAATACACAAAAACAATAAATGATGTGCAATGCAAAAATGTAAAATTTGGTTTTTCATCTTTATATATATACTTTGCTTGTCTTGGTGTTTGTGCTTCTATTTGTGGCCAATAAACGTCAAACCAGCTGAACTGATTTCGGCCCAAATTTTTTGTGGGACCTTGCTTGTTCCCTAACAAAATTCGATTTTTGAAATTTTTACAAATTGTGGATTTTTTATAAAATCTAAAAAATTTTTGGTTTTACGAATTATACGAAAAAGAACATGTTTACAATTGAAATAGAAGATGTGCGCAAAGTGCCCTAATAGCCTAGTATATATTTATAAATATATACTTAACTTGTCTGTCTGTCTGTTCAGAATCCATTAAACATCGAAACAGCTAAACTGATTGGGCCGAAATTACATGCAGGACTTCACATGTACCAGGGAAGGTTTATAGATGATCAAAATGTGCCTACAACTGCGATGTCCTTAAAGAAGGTTATTAGTTAAGACTGAAAGATAAAATTTCTCAGTTTATTTTATCCTTCTTTCAAAACAGATACTTTACTTTAATTTGACTTAATATTATACTCAGCAAAATACATTTTTTAAATATGGATGTTTTTTCTTGGTTTTAGAATATCTGAATCTATTGAGATAAATGTCTATACTTTCCAATATATTGGGTAAACAATTATGTTTCCAATGAATGGAATGAAGTAGGAGAAAGATGATAAATTACTTCAATTTCCAACTATTTTCCAATATCTATGTAATAGTTACATTTCTATCCAGTCTGTTGTAAACATATTACAATTCAAGAAATAATATAGAGAAAATAAGTTTAGGAATAAATACAAAAAAATGTGTATATTGCAATTTTGATCAATATTTTCGTAATAGAATAGTCGCCCGACAAAATATTTGTATTACACACAAAGTCTATGTAAAATAGCTACAATAAATATATTTCTCTTGACTTAAACTATTGAAAGTAATTGAATCTCTTTATCTTTTGAAAGTACTTAAATCTCTTTAAAATGTTCATGAATACTTAACTTTAACAGAAGGTAATTGTTTGAACCTAGATAATGACCACATCCTGGTAGAAACTGGTAGAAATTCTAAGAACCAATAGAAAATATTCTTAGGAGAGTTAATAATGAAAATAAGATGCATTTTTTTCATATATGTAAAGTACCAATCTTTTGCCGTTAAAGTTTTTGTTAGGGCAAGCTGACTTTGAAACAAGACCTGGACCACGGCCCGCTTATAGATATGATTCTATCTATCTATCTATCTACACTCAACTCGGCCACAGCACAAATTTTATTTTGGTAATTTTTTCCATGGGCCTACCAGCTGATGTAGCAAACCGGAACCTAGATTTGTTGTGTTTATTTTAGGGGCATATTTATGTTTTTTTTCAATGTTTCTTTTATTTATTTTTTTTATTCAAAATAGATTTTTTTGGTTTACAAAGAATTAATATCTGAAGGAAAGTTCAGGGTCCATAGAGTAGGAAAGTTGTACAGCTGTGTTAATAAACAGTGGGCCCTGTGATGTATGAACATGAGGTACTGCAGTGTAATATCTTGTGAAAATAATAGTACTTGTTAAGATAAAATCTTTTTTCGTTCCCGAAAAATGACCTAAGAGTAGCATGGGCGAAATTTACAGGCCAACCTTCCTCCTGGAATCCGAAAAAATGGAGTGTGATATGCTCAGACCATTTTTCTCCTAATGACCTTAATAGGGCTTCTAAAAGACTACGACCTGGAGCCATGTCATCCTAGCCTCTAACCCCCAGTCATTAGCAGTTCAAGTAATATGTGATTCAATTTTTGTTTTAAAAAGTTCGATAAATGTAAACTTTTTTTGATTTTGGCGAAAAATGTTATATTTATTTTTAAACTTCTTTAAAAATTAAAAGATTTGTGTGACTGTACAGTGTACATATAGGTAAATGAAAATTTAGAGGTGAAAAACTTGGACAAATGGTAAAATAAATGGGTTTTCTTAGATATTTGAACAAATTTGAAAATTTGTGTGATTGTGCAAAGGGAGAGGGGTTATAGTAAAAACGGAAATTTACAGGTCCAAAAGTGCGACAAACTGTAAAATATATGGGGTTTTCAAGGGCGTATACAGAATGAAATGTAGGGGGGGGGGCCAAAAATTGCGTGTAGCGCATACATTCTTTTGCCCCACCCCCCCCTAGAAGCTCCTATGGGGGGGGGGACAAAATTTGAACTGTAAATTCAAAATATTTGGCTTCTAGAGGATCAAGCATACTTTTTTTATGGGTTATGGTATTCATTTTACGAAATTGTCTGTTATTGAAAATTTGTATCCATTCTTTTATATTGTAATTTTCCTTTAAGAAATTCTTTTACTTTGCCCCCCCCCCCTTGGAGATCCTAGGAGGGGTGGGGGCAAAGTTTGAATTGTAAGTTCAGAACATTTAGCTTCTTGGATATCAGGCAAAAGTCGCACAAGTATAAAATACTTTAAAGGTACACATACAGTCCAATCACCTTGCAATTGCTTACTTTAGAACTACTTTTTCTCTTATTCAAACTAAATTCTGTGAAATTAAAAGGGAAAATTAGGTTACAGCACTGCAATAATATGTATTTTTTTACAAACAGCAAACTATTTTTGTCCTGTTCTTCAGTCTTCACTCTTCAGTTTAAGATTTGAAAAGTGTGATAGCTCTGAGTTCCGGCCCCTTCACAGGTCTAGGGGGGAGATTTTTGAAGATTTTATTATAAAAATAAAGTTTTAAAGCTTTTTCTAGATTTAAAAAGAATATTTTTTTCAGATCATTCCTATGCAACCCAGGAGACCACACTTAATAGACTGTCTGCTGCAAACAACGATTTACAACAGCTTAACAACAAACTTCGAGTTAGGAACACCAGGTTAAAGCAGAAAGTAAAATCATTGGAGGATGCCCTGGAGAATGTAAAATCTCAGAGAACCAAAGTCCGAGTTCAGCTGTCCAAGTTGATCTTGTTCAAAAATCAGTAGGAATGAAGAATCCCTCATTATTGTTATCAATATTATACAAACAATATTTTTTTAAATAAAAAATTTTTCAATGTATATTGTAAGGGAAAAAAATAATTAGAACGTAGATGACATTCTAATCTTTTTTACACTTGTCAGATTGGGAAAATTGATTTTGAATTTTCAATAATTGATGAATGACTAAGTGAAAGTGTAACAAAAACTGGGCTTTCCAAAATATGGTCTTCCTTTTTTCTTCAAAATTGACGGAGATATTTAATCCTTTAAAATGTTATTGATTTTGCAGATTTGAATTTTAGAAATCCTGAGACTAGGGTTTTTTTTTGTCAGAAGTTAATGCTGAAAATATACTAATTTGTGTTTACTGAATAATGTCTTGTGGAACAAAGACAATTAAGAAGTTAAGACTTGATTTCCATGTTTATTGGGACACCCGAATATGGCTATAATGTTCACCATAGACTGGAAGGGGGGGGGGGGGGGNTACCTGAACTCTAAGGCTATACATAGATTCAGACCCCCCCCCAGCCTTTATAGGATTAAGCTGAAGAAAAAAATATGAATCATTCCCCACTGTATACTGTATAGTCCTGCGTAACTTTCAAGGGTGGGTGGCATTTATAGTGTATTCTTAGTAGAAGGGGCTTCGCCCCCCCCCCACCTTCTTACTCTTATAGTCAAAAATATATATATTATTTTGAATCCTCAGTATTATTTATGTTTAAGCCTTTAAAAAGGTCGGGGGGCAACGATAATTAAGCTATCTTTGAAATAAAGTTTAAACATTGAAACTACACAAGGGAATTAAACAAACCGTCCCCCCCCCTTCTAAAATTCAGTGGAATATAACTGTTTGGCTAAATAAGAAAGGAATTATGCAAGAGCTGGTCCAGGGTCCATTGTCTGCTAGAACTCCAATGTACCGCATAACACCCCACCCAGAAAATTACATCGAAACTCGTCTATGATCCATCCATTCTATTATATATCCGTGGAAAATTGATACAACCTTTTATAGCTGTCTGGATCTATGTGCTCGCCCTCCCCCTCTCCCATTCTATGCAAACTTAGAATTCTATTTCCAAACATCTTGTTAATTTCCTGATGTGTATCTTGTGTCTCCGGTTTTATGTACAAAAAAACTTATATATAATATATCCCCCCCACCTTCTCTGTTAAATATTAACACAGATGAATTTAAAAAACATTTTGTGAATTTTTTTTTATGTTTTACGTCGTCTTCATGTCAAATTTGACTGTTTAATGGAATTCAGGTTACAATAAATTTTGGAATTTTTTTCTGGCGCCAAATTTAATGAATTGTGATTTTATTACGTACACTAAGCTGAACCACTTCTGTTTTAGCTACTCTTTCTTATCGGTTTAATCGTTTTTGAGGCTCTTTGGGACTTTAAAAGGTTCCAAAAAAATCTGATTATTACAAATTTCAAAATTGTTTTTTTCTGAAGATTTCTTTTCTTTTCTAACACTAAGCCTAGCTGTGACTCGGGAAGAAAATGTTGCAAAGTTTTGATAAAAACAAACTTTAGCAGAATGCAGTCTTAAAATCTTAGAGATTATTTAATTTGTACTATTTTAAGAGGAAATTTTTTATGATATTTTTATTAAAACAGATTTTGGACCTTTAATCAGTTAGCATCAAATTTTGAAAAAGATTTAAATGAGGGGCAAAGGAATTGCAGAGTCTTTGCCACAAACTCTGCTTTTCTAAACCCTATATCTTTGGATTACAATGTCGTAGACCATAGATATTTCAAACATATGAATTCTGTTAGATCATATAATGTAAGTTTGAAATATCAAAGATTTGCGACATTGGAATCCAAAGATATAGAAATTATAAATTCAGAGTTTGTGGCAAAGACTCAATTCCTTTTGAAGACATCTGAGATATAAATATGGCGTGAATTTAAAGGTTTGGTCAATATTCCAGAAAACTTTCGATCCCAGTTTGACCTGTTAAACATGATTTTTTAGACTTTTTTCCTAAATACTTTTTTCGGCATACACATTTCGAAGGGAAAAGTAGAGACCAACAAATCCGTAAATAAAAAAATTGTTGCCAAAACACGTTTGATTTCAAATAGAAGAAACCAAGTGCTTCTCACTCTGGTTAGTCCGGGGTGAAATAGCATAAATTTTTCTTATTGAAAATGTTAATGCCAAACGTTTTAATTTTCATTGTAAGAAATATATAGAATGATTCCTTTGTTTGGGGCAAAACAATAACAAAAGTATTTAAAGAAAATTTATTAAGAAACACTGAAAATAATTATGTTAAACACGTAAAGTGTGTCCTGAGCTGGGAACTTTTGAATTATGGATATCAGGATTAATTCTTGATCCAATCTTTTTCTTAATCTCCAGATTAAAACATGCTTGTGTACCTCCAGATTTCACCTCAGAGCTGTAAACTCATTTAATATTTGTAAACCATAATCGAACGGAAAATTTAGAAATCTAGATGTAAAAAATGTTCAGAGCTGACAACTTTAGTATGTGATATCCTTAATCCCGATCGGTTAATGGAGATAAATGACAAGAGGAGAACAAGCCTTTTTTAATCTGGAGATTAAGAATAAGAGTGGATCAAGCATTAATCCCGATATCCACCATTCAAAAGTTCTCAGCTCAGGTATGTATTTACAACCTAACACTATATGTAAATGAGCAAAACTAATGAAATATTTATTTACAAATCTTTGTGATCTAATTTAACATTACAAAAAAAATATTTACATTTTTTAAATCGATGAGATTCTTGAAATAAAAAATAATTTCAACCTATAAATAAGATTCTAAAAATTTTAACAAAAATAAAAAAAACTATTTTTGCAAAAATATTTTTACAACTTTGTCATGAACATTTACCTAAAATGGAAGTAACAATAAGAGTAAAACAGTTTTCAATCAAGAAAATGTTCACCAAGAATTTGTGCATACAAAAGTGTACTGCAATTACCGCGAAGAATTTGACGCAATACGCAGCTGTTTGTTCACACACGTGGAAGAAATGCAAATACTGCGTAAACAGAAGTCTTTATAATCTCCTAATTAAAGTTTCAATTTGTTATTTGTAAAATCTCTTAAGTTCCAATTTGTTCAGTTCAAAATATACGTCTGTTATAAAACGCATTTAGTTTTGAGCAATATAAATGTGTTCTAGTTTCTTATAAGGTAATAATGTCTTAAGCTGTATATGAACAACTATAACTGTGAACTTGCACATTTTTACAAAATGCAGTACACTGGATGTACATTGTACGCTGAACAAGTTTTGCGTGTTTACTGTTGGAAGTAGCTTTTTAGAGCTTGAAGTTGTTTTTAGAGCTTGAAGTTGTTTTCAGAGCTGGATTTTTCTTTCAGAGCTGGAAGTTGTTTTTAAGAGCTGGAGGTTGTTTTCAGAGTTTGAAGTTGTTTTCAGAGCTTGAAGTTGTGTTGTACAGCTGTTGTACTTAAACATTGTACAACAATTTTCAAGCAGTTAAAAAACAGATGTACAGTGGTTGTACAGAAGTTATACGTTGGAGCTTATGTTAAACAGCAGCTGTTAATTGGTCAAACAAGTGTACATCAGTTGGGAGAGTGGTTTACAGCTGGAAATTGTGTTGTACAGCAGTTGGGAGAGTGGTTTACAGCTGGAAATTGTGTTGTACAAAATGGTAATAATAATAATAATAATAATAAAAATAAAAATAAAAATAGTAATAATAATAATAATAATAATACCTATCCATCTCAGGACCGTGTGGCATGAGCATGACAGGTTGTAGATTGACCGATTTCCTTGACCCAGCCAGAGATTGATTATCTCCTATATATCCCGCGTTCAACTCTCCTTAAAAAAATCATTGATAAACTTTCAATGCATGGTGGTAGACATTTTAAAGGGACCTTTCCATTTAGTAGTTAAGAACATTGTATGAAGAGGGTTCCACATTCTTTTATGTAATATTCATTAGATTTGCTCAATGCTCATGTATGCATGCTTTTTTATAGACCTTTGTACATAGATGGGTTTCAACTATCCACCTCCTTTTCTACGTAGATGGATTCATGTAAAGAGTTCCAACTATCTACCTTTGTACACAATTGGATGCATGTACTGAGTTCCAACTATCCCCTACTTTTGTACATAAATGGGTTCATGTACAGAGGTCCAACTATCTCCATGCCTTTGTACATAAAAGGATTCATGTACAGAGTTCCAACTATCTGCCTACCTTTGTACATAGAAGGGTTCATGTACAGAGTTCCAACTATCTACATACTTTTGTACAAAGAAAGATTCATGTACAGAGTTCCAACTATCTGCTCATATCTTTGTACATAGAAGGGTTAATGTACAGAGTTCCAACTATCTACATACTTTTGTACAAAGAAAAATTCATGTACAGAGTTCCAAACTATCTGCCTATATATTTGTACATAGAAGGGTTCATGTATACAAAGTTCCAACTATCATCTATATCTTTGTACATAAATATGTTCATGTACAGAGTTCCAACTGTCTGCCTACCTTTGTACATGAAAGGGTTTATGTACAAAGTTCCAACTATCATCTATATCTTTGTACATAAATGTGTTCATGTACAGAGTTCCAACTATCTGCCTACCTTTGTACATAGAGGGGTTCATGTACAAAGTTCCAACTATCATCTATATCTTTGTACATAAATGCGTTCATGTACAGAGTTCCAACTATCTGCCTACCTTTGTACATAGAAGGGTTCATGTACGCTGGTTCTTCAATAAATTTCACTTTTTTACCAGCCAGGGTAAAGGCGAGACAACCTAAATAAATTATAAAATTAAAGATAAGAAATCAAAACAAAACAAACAATGTCAAATCTACCAATCAACCAGCCAAATCAACCCCAATTACCTCCCTTCCTACCTAAGTACCTACCTTCCTTCCTTCCTACCTACCTACCTACCTACCTACCTACCTACCTACCTACCTACCTACCTAACCACCTACCTACCTAGTATAATAGAATCAAAGAATGCCACTACTGCAAGTATATAAGCCCATCTGATTTTACAGTTGCCTAGATTGTAGTCAGCAGCCTGAAATAAAAAATCGAACTATCAATAATCTCTTTGTTTGGATGTCTGATCATAACTCATGAACCCCTAGACCGATTTGCCTCTAATTTTGAATAAGGAAAACGGTAGAACGCCGGGAAATTCCAGAAATTCCTCCTGACCCTGGTTTTCTGATTTAGAGAGAAAGAAGTCTGTTTGTAGGATTTTCCATAATTTTGAATTCAATAGCTTCGCAAATTTATAGTTTTATAAAAGAATTAGACGGTTTTCTATTTTTTTAAAACAACATGTATTTATGAATTTATCTAATTTACCTGGTTTCCACAAATCCCTCTTACTTCAGGATGGTCCCAGCCAGCAGGGTAGCAGAAATATATAGAAAAACAGGGGCTAGAATTACAGCGAAGATTTTAATGGTTTTATTCAAGTGATGAATTAGAAAAGCGCAAACTTAAAATAAATTTGTAAAATAAAGATCTTCACAATTGATTTTTTGAGGCACCCTGAATTCTACGAACACATTCACACTCCAGTTTTTATGGAACACCCTGTATTCTCCCGATATAAATCCAATTATTGTGAACCCCCCTGCATTGATGAATAATTCTATTCCTTGAGATATAATACCCGTCTTTTAGTCATCAGACATCATTATACGCTAGCTGATACGTATTCATACATAATTGGCAGGATAAATCTTAAATTCCAGGACAATCTGGAGGAGAATAAAGGGAAAATTGAAGATTGTCTGTGTCAAGGTCTCAATTAAAGGGGGGGGGATTCCCCCCACCCACCCCCTCTTTAGTATTTGAATCAGAATTATAGAGACCCCCAGGCTATCCTTATGCAAGGGAACTGATTGCTAAACTTCTCAATAATTCTCACACAGATTTATGTGTCAATACTCAATTCACCTTTAATGATAAACTCTATAGGAAAAGTATGGAAAAGAGGAGGAAACGAGCATGGAAATGACGAGTGAAGGGGGAATAAAGGAGAAGGGGGGAATGTTAGGCAGAAGTAACCTGGGGAAGGAGAAGAAGGAGGAAATAAGAAGAAGACCGAGAAGGATGAGAAGGAGGAAAAGGAGGAGAAAGAGGAGAAGAGAATAAGGAGGAGAAGGAGGAAAAGGAGGAGAAGGAGGAGAAGGAGTAGAGAGAAGAGAAGGAGGAAAATCAGGAGAAGAAGGAGAAGGAGGAGAAGGGGGAAAAGAAGGAAAAGGGGGATAAGAAGGAGAAGGAGGAGAAGGAGGAGAAGGGTAAAAAACTAAAACGCAAACAATTTCTGACTCCATTCATTGAATACCATTATATAGTTTCTTACAAGGAACTATATCTATTTTATCTAATAAAGAGTCAGCAATTGCAATAATTATAATAATCAAGAAAGATAAACCAGAAACCCCACATATCCAAGGAATATACCAAGGAGTATACCAAGGAATATGCCAAGGAATATATCGCGGAATATACCAAGGAATATACAAAAGAATGTACCTAGGAATATACCAAGGAATATACCAAGGAATATACCCAGGAATATACCTAGGAATATGCCAAGGAATGTACCTAGGAATGTACGAAGGAATATACCAAGAAATATGTACCAGGAATATACCTAGGAATTACCCAGGAATATACCTAGGAATTACCTAGGAATATACCTAGGAATTACCCAGGAATATGCCTAGGAATTACCCAGGAATATACCTAGGAATATACCTTGGAATGTACGAAGGAATATACCAAGGAATATACCAAAGAATTTACCCAAGAATAAACCTAGGAATATGCCTAGGAATGTACGAAGGAATATACCAAGGAATATACCAAAGAATATACCCAGGAATAAACCTAGGAATATACCATGTAATGTACGAAGGAATATACCAAGGAATATACCCAGGAATATACCTAGGAATATGCCTAGGAATATACCAAGGAATGTACGAAGGAATATACCAAGAATATGTACCTGGGAATATACCAATGACTATACCTAGGAATGTACGAAGGAATATACCAAGAATATGTACCTAGGAATATACCAATGAATATACCTAGGAATGTAAACAAATTAATTGCTGCTTTAGTGGAATTTCTCCCGAAGTAGAAGTACACTGTTTATGTAAACATGTTTACATATATATTCCATGAGCAGCATTTCATTAGTTTATTATATTTTTTATAAAGAAAGATAAAAATATAGGGTTCCCATGGTGTAACTTCCTTATACCAGGGTGTCCCAATAATCATTGGCATTGAATGACGAAGTCCAGACCGTCGTCTTTGTTAAGAATTGTAATTCTTCATTTCAAAATTTATAAAAATGTCTGCTATAGAGTTTGTTTTATAAAAACGGTAAAGGCTGTAATGATGTGTCTGTAATGAACAGTGAAGACGGACAGGTTTACTTTTCTTATTATACTACAGTGATAACCAGATAACTCTGGAATATATACAGTGATAACCAGATAACTCTGGAATATATACAATGATAACCAGATAACTCTGGAATATATACAGTGATAACCAGATAACTCTGGAATAGGAAGTCTACTTTTAAACTCCAGTTATGGCTTTAAATAGTCCCATGAACATGTGTTACAGCAAATGTGCAGTGTAAATAGACCCATTTAACATTATAAGTGATCTAATAATTTACTAGTAAAGCTATTTGTTTTGTAACAACATCAAATGCATTTCACTATCGATGCTTTAATGTCGTCTTTGTATTCCACAGTTTTCTGGTTATCACTGTATAGTACTAGAACAGTAAAGAGATCAAAACATAAACAAACAAATTCTAAACTCACTAGCTACCTCTAGCAGACGAAAACAATACGCAACGTATTCTTTCTCACTAAATCCAAAAATCATTGACAACGACGATATCAAAATCGTCACTGTTTACAGGGATAACCTGTATATACAGATAATTAACCATCTTCTTGAATATGTGCTTAATCCGCTACACAGGGTCATTTCCGGGCCATTCTAATCCCGGGGGGGGGGGGGGTAATTATAAAGATTTAACGGGGACTAATTCACAGATTACATGGATGGGCAATAGAGATACTCAATTTAGTTTGAAAGGCAGTATATACCTTGTCTGAAAAGTAAATATCAATCAAATTATTTGTTTTATATTTTAAGATTTTGACAAATATAGTGGGGGGGGGGGGCCTTCCTATTAAAATCTTCAAACGAGGATAATTCCTTTGGTGTACCGTCCCGTGTTGCCGTCTACAGTCTGTACAACGTACTTATACTGTACAACTGTGCATACTTGCTCCAGCTACCTATGTGTCGGTACTTTAATTGAACCGCAGCTCTGTTTCAGTCAACATTTCAATGGTAAAATTGGCTGAGTTCTCATGAAAAAGAAATTTAGTATTGAAAGTGTTTTCAAGTCTATGAACAATACTTTTAAATCATTGTTCAAGCCTAAGTAGATGCGAATTCTTGTGACACGTAAAAAACGGCAACACTTATGATTAACAAACAAAAAAAAATATCACCATACTTCCCTCTACCTAGGACTGGGCAATGTTCTGCTTACGCACAGCCAGTTTTTGAAAATTAACATAAAATTCCGTTAACTAACGGCCAAAACCGTAAATTTTGAAATAGTCAACGAACAAAAATAACATGAAGGAAAATCCCACAAGAGATCAAACGGATATGTTTAAAAAACCGGCAACTATCTGAAAATTTTGTCTTTTGAACGATTGTATATAACCGTTATCGAACGGTTTGAAAAAGTCTAAATGTGCCCAGCCCTACGACTTTACCATCTGCCAAATGTTACATCTACAACAGAGATAGGAATTATGCAAAATAATACTTCTAATATAAAACAGACAATATAACATATTAATGTTTATTCTCGCTAGGAACTTAAATTGATCCATAGACAAAACTACAGAGAAAACAGTTCAGAGAGAACCAAGATTTAAAGACTGAGCAAGTGTGCTGTGTATTTAACGTATTGAGAATGAGCGATGACAGTTTGACCCAAATAGATTCTACAGGGTGTCCCATATCATATTAGATCGTAAATGGGTCTAAATTACAATTTACGGGACTAATCAGAAAATTTAAGAAGAATAAATCATTATAAAAAATTGAAAAAGGCTAAAATCAAAATTTTCTTGCAGGAAATGCTATGTTTTTCGAATATTATATGTTTATTTTGGCGTTAAAGCTTTAAGATAATCTAATATGATATGGGACGCTCTGTAGTACAATATGTACACTCTCATATTCTTACGCCTATCAGTTTTTGTGATAATTTTAGAATAAAGCGCAATTTTATGTGTTCTTTTTTTCTGTTTTTACACTTTTTTATTTAATCTTGGAAAACATGTCATGATGTCAACTAATGGGAGAAATTTTCCTTGTTATATTTCAAACTTGTGACGCCGTGTATAATTGGTTCATTTCTCTGTTGCCACCTATTGTCAAAGAGAATAGAATATATATTAGTGTGGAATTTAAAGAATCTCTCGGTATGAATTTGTTCAGTCCCTTTCAGCATGAAAGGGAGTTCAAAGTGTACAAATCATGTAAATGTTCACAAATTATATGCAGTATAGAGTACATTAATACAGTATGTTCCCTAGACTATCCATTTCAATTTCGAATTTTTTAAAGCTGTTAAATTACCAAGGAATATACCAAAGAATTTACCCAAGAATAAACCTAGGAATATGCCTAGGAATGTACGAAGGAATATACCAAGGAATATACCAAAGAATATACATTATATATATACTTCTTGTTTCTGATCAAATAAAGTAAACCGGTAAACAGTACACTGAAAACTACCCGGGAAACATTTTTACGTACGCGCAATTCCGCACAATTCCGTGCAATTCCGTGCAATTCCTTGCAACGGAATTCCGCCTGGAAACCAGTAAACAGTAAACTAACCTGAAAGGAGCTGCATAGTTCCACAGATCTTAAAAACATCTCCAGGACTAGAAAATAATTATTTCAATAGATTGTTAAAGGGACTGTATAGTGTATAGGGAAAATGAAAGAGGGTATAGGATGAAACTTGAAAATCCCAGGCGTTGAACGATACATGTGGGACATCTATCTTGTTCTTGTCTCGAGAAATTGATCTAAAACTGTGTCAAATGTAAACGAAAATTCATAGGTTTAAGGATTGAAAAAATGTATTGCAAAAAGTTTAACAAAAAATATAGCATAATTAAACAGCAAATATAAAAATGGTCTTGTTTAAATTTCGGTCGTCTAAAATTATACTTAATTATATAATTACATTTTAATTAATTATAATTATACCTAGAGTGGGATCCATATAACTATGGAATAAAAAGACAATCTTATGGAATCTTTCAAAAAAGCTTTAGAAATAATTTACTACGTAAAGTTTGAGTTTTCGAAATTTACACATCACATCTGGATTTGAAATTATTTCCCATTGGATGAATCAGAACCAATCAGAAGCCAACCTAAGACTTGGGTTTTACGAAAGCTTGAGTTTATGTTAGGTTGGGCTTAGGGTTTCCAAATTTTCGTTCAATCTCTTTTACGAAAATTTCGTTAAGCCAACGAAAATGTGAACAAAAACAAACATTTTCGATTTTTTTTCGCGTGAATTTTCTTTCGTTAAATGTTTTTGCAAAATTCCCAAAATTTGTTCGAAAATTTCGACCTTTCTTTCAAAAGCTTATTTTTTTCTTAAAATACAATCTTCTTGATTTCGATTTTTCCATTTCGCACGAAAATTGAATGAAAATTTCGCGAAAATAAAATTTTTTTGCGAAAATGTGCTGGAAAATTTCGTCAAAAATACATCCAAATGCGCGAAAATTTTGAACGAATTTCGTTCGTTCATTTTCGCAAATTTCGTTCAACGAAAATTTCCATGGAAACCCTAGTTGAGCTTTACTTTTAAAATCTCAGCTTTTGAAAAACGCCGCTTGGGAATTGTTTGTATGAAAATTTTGATATTTCCTGTAAACATAAAGTTTATAAAATGGTGAATAATGCATAGTCTACGGTAATTACCAGATGGTATTTTGGAAAGTTAGTTCCTTCTAGTTGAAGAGGGATATTGTGGAGAGGGCAGGATATTTATAGAATAGTTCGTTAATGAATAGAATATGTTTGAATAATGTGGATAGTTAAATTTTTTTATTGATTTTTTTTAAAATCAAGAGTTGTGGGTTTTGGTAAGAGTTGTGGGCTCTGGTTAGGAAAAATCAAAATCTTTAAAAAAGACGTTACCCACCCATGCATTTCAAGTAAATTTTTTTCAGTATTCGTTTTTAAGCTTGCTCTAATATATATTTAAACATTGCAAATTAAGTATTTCGATACAACACACAGTGAATTTTGTCCCATTCCATAAATGTCAATGTTTGAATAGTATCAAGAACAAGAATTATTTAAATTCTTATCATTTAACCGGAAAAATTCCGTGTGCTCATACTTGTTCGGAAATTCAAAACTAGAGGAGCTATCGTAACAGTATTGTCGCATAAATGTGGCCTTCTCTCTCTGTTTTGTTTGCAGTGAGTGAAGATTCACTTAAAATTGCATTAACAGTCCCTTTATACTGAATATCCCCAGTGGCATATTCAGGGGTAGGAGCTGTAGGGGAAATCTATAAAGTGAAATCTATAATTTCCAGGGGTTTTTAGGCCCCAATGACCTGCCCCCCCCCCCTAGAAAGAAAAAATAAACCCTCCTTGACAAATTCTGAGTACGCCCCTGGTGAAAACCCTGTACTAAAAAATCTGCAAAGCATTATGAGCCGTAGGTAAAATAAAGCTTTCTTTAAGTTTTAAGATTGCTCAATTTCCTACTCAAATTGGTGTCTAGCAAAGTTTTAATCCGCTCTTCTCTTGGTAAATATCCACTGTTTACTTTCATGGATGGGTCGGAGGGGGGGGAAATTTTGTTGAGCCGCCCCCATGGAAAAATTTCTGAATACGTACCTGCACATAAGGAAGAGTACCATAGCCAGGATACAGATCAGGATTATGATTACTGCGATACCAACGAAAACGGTCGCTGCTCGGAAAGCTGGTGACAGGATCGACGAGAAATCGTCCAGACGGCCCCGACAAATCTCCCGGCCATCTTGGCTAAAAATAGAGGTTATTCGTAATGTACAATTAAGTGAATTATCAAGAACTAAGTCAAGAAAAAGTAGAAGGCCGGGGCACCAAGAATTAAATGAGATAAAGAGACATATCTCCAATAGTTTTTTCATAATATCGATTTATCGAAAACATTTCGAACTTTTGAAAATTTTGTTTGAAAATTGACTGTTACGGTTATAAAAAATTTCTAACATGTTTCTCAAAGTTTACAATTATTAGTTTTTCCATTTGTACAGTGCAACCCTTTAAACAAGGAGAGTGGTTCTTAACTTCTTTCCTTGAAAAGTTACCAATAATCAACTTAGATTAATTCTTTATCTCTTGGTCTCTAGAACAAAACAACCTGGAGGGGGGGGGGTAGTACCCTCTAGCCCCCCCTCCCCCCTCCTTTTATCATCTACAGCCTTAGCAGAAGACTAAGAGCTTATCTTAGCTTAAATATATTTTTCTAGAAAAAAATGACATTAAATATTAAAAATAACCTTTTAAAATGTTCGAAAATGCATAATTTTTATAATTCATTTCAGCGATTGAGTACAATTATTAATCATAAATAGAAAATACCAAAAATGCTTATTTGAACAGTTTAAAATTAAAACTTGTAGTTCGACTAATGATAAACATCTTTTAAATCTGTTTTAAACATATGTAGCAAAAATTGAGGGCCTATTGTAATTTACGTCATACCTTGCTCATATAGTAATTACGCAAATCCTGTATTGAGATTAACCCATTCCATGTACGTAGATATATATAACTCCATGCATATTGTGATTGTTAACTATGTTATATATATACATATTACAGCGCATAGCTTGTAATTACGCTGTTAATGACCCAATTCCAATATGAACTACGAAATACACCTCTGCGAGGGAGTAAACCTGAAAACCTGTCAGGTCGATCCTCCCCTTTTATTTGGAATCAATATATAGCTTGTTGATAGCTAGGTTTGTGTTCTTGTGTGGCATTTAGCTCGGATCCTCTACATCATTTGGGATCTGTATATATATAATGCTTGTGTCCCTGTGTGGCACTTAGAGCCTGAGATTCAGAACTGGTTGAGTTTGATAGCGGACGGACCTGGATAGATACGTCTGGAGATATTGTTATGGAGTAGGTGTTACATACTACACATACATACAATACATTAGTCATGACTTATCTAGCCGACAAAGGGCTGTTTTAAATAAAAGATTTGAAGCAAAGAAAATGAGGACAGGAGGAGAGCGGAATCGTGGGAAAAATGGCGTACTGTTGATTTCAGTGAGTATTTTGTGTATTAAAGAAAAGGGGAGAATATTGGAAGATTATTCTGAACAGCTCTGCTAAATTATGATTTGAAATCTTTCCGATTCACAGGAAGAGCAGAGAAAATCAATTATTATTAACACCTATTTACATGGAGGACAGTTAGATCTGAAGCAATACATTTCTTTATATCTTTCTGAGATGGAATTTAAAGAATTTAAGCCGCAGTTTAAATCCGCAAACCCCGGTTTAAATTAAGCGTCGGCTTAAATCTTGAAACATTTGATACAATTTTAAGTGGAACCAACCATATTTAAGCCACGGCTTAAATTTAAACCGCCGCTTAAATTCTTTAAATTCGGCCACTGTACTCTTAAAATCTGTTTAGAGATGTTATTTCTTGGGTGTTATGGAAAACTTTGTTTCAAAGTCTAGGAAACGTTTGGTAATGGTTAGGGCTGGGAACATTACAACCTTACAAACCGTTTCGTGGACAGTTAGTTCCAATCGTTTTTAAAACAAAATATCAGGTTACCGTTAGTTTTAGAGGGACAAAACGAACCTTTGTTTAGTTAGCGGTAAGTTACCGTTAGTTAACGATCTCAATTTAATTACTGGCGTTCACAGAAAATTTTACAAAACAATTTCGTGAATGGTTAATGAAATCGTTAAGGGCATATTGTTAGCAGTTTATTACAGTATTAACGGGGTTAACGGCGCGAATCGCCAAACAGAAATTATTAACGGTTTATGAAATCGTTGACGGTTGGGAACACAGAAGAGGATATTTTAAACATTAAACACAAAAATTTTTTTTTACAAGTTACATGCAATTTTAAGCAGAAAAAAAATAAATTCACATTTAAAAAAGAAATCTGTTTGGTTTTTGTTTTTAACCGTTTTAATGACTAATCCGATTCATTAACATTTTGAAAACTAATGGATTCGTCGTTCGTTAACGGACTCTTCCGTTAATTTTCGAAAACCTTCGTTTCGTTAACGGAACGTGTCAAAGCCCTAGTAATAATTGGATCGAAAATGATGGCTTAGACTATCAAGCTAGGACATCTAAATCGTGTTCTCTGTGTAATCTTAGTACTTGTATTAAAATATGTTTTAAGTCAAGCAGATTTATCTTTTCTATCTCTCTGCATGGACTCAGTTGTTTTAAATTGTCCCAGCAGGATATTTCAATGAAAAGAATAAATTTCTCGTGGATTTAGAAAATGGCGCAGATCCCCCAGGGCGGCCATTTTGATTTTCACACTGTACACTTCAATCTTTAGTATCATGCAAGGACTACGGAATTCTTTCATCTGTTGTTTTGTCCTTTGGCTGTATGACTATCTGTCTATCTATCAGGGGGTGTCCAGAATCAAAGAGAGGGGGAGGGGCAAAAAAGCACGAAGCGCTATAATCATTGTTTACCTCCTAGAAAATTGTTAAAAGTTTGAAATTTAAGAGAAAGCTATTTGGTTTTTTTAAAGGGGGAAGGAATATGGAGAGTATGGAGAGATAATAATGATGATAATAATACTTATATTTATGATAATTATGATAATTATAGTTTTTAAGTTTTCAAGTTTTCAAGTTTCACATTTTGTGTTTTGTATTCAGTATATTCAATCCAATAAGTTTTAGAAAGAAAAATATCTTTGGCAATTCTTTTCATATTAGGAAAAGATATATTTTCAAAATATCGGACAGAAACTATACAATATTTTTCTGTGCAAAATTTGAAATGTACTTAACATGCTGTACTGTACTGTAATTTACTATAATGCACGTACTTTAGTGTAATATACTGTACTGTACTGTACTGTACTGTACTGTACTGTACTGTACTGTACTGTACTATACTGTGCTGTACTGTACTGTACTGTACTGTACTGTACTGTACTGTACTGTACTATACTGTACTATACTGTGCTGTACTGTACTGTACTGTACTGTACTGTACTGTACTGTACTGTACTGTATTATACTGTACTGTATTATACCTGTCTGTACACCAAGACCAGAGACCGAAGTTTCCTGGTCCCTTCGAGAAATCACTGTCACCAATCCATTCCCCCTAAAAAAACAATAGAAAATTAAAATAAAGAAAAATCTAAATATTTATTTTTTAGAATCAAACATTCACCTCGAATTCTATTTTTTATAAGACATTGCACCCTGATATCATAGATCAAACAGTCAACCTTTGAAATATCAAATGTTTTTAACAACAGCTTGCAAAGATATTTGGATTAAAAGTTTGAGTATGAGACAAGTTCTCAGTCCTTTTTAAAAATCAAAACTGTTTAAACCAAGATGGCGAAATGTTGTATTTTTCTGTTTTTATTGCAATAAAATCCAGTTCTGCCAATTTATTATAGATAAAAGATAAGGAAGAGAATATATTTACAACAATGTTTCCATAGATATACGAAACTGTTATAGCAATATGTATACATAGGAGGTAACTAGCTTTTGTATCGTGGATATCGAGATCACTGCTAGATTTTTTTAAAATCTGCAGATTAACTTAATCTTTTTTTGATAGCCTACAAGGAGTTGAAGTAAGCTTTGATTAGGGGAAGATACAGTTTTCAAACTAAAAGGGCCCACAGTGGATATTGAGATCAAGCAATCAGAATTATTAGTTTCCAACACAAAAGATTCCAGCTCAGGGTTACCAATGAAGACGACTTTTTATTTGATTTAAATGGGCTATTAGTATTAAAGTTATGTTTTATCTCTTTTAAATCACTAGGTATAGAGTAAATGCGCACTTTACTCTACATTTAATAATATATTTATAAAATTTGTGGCGATTGTTCAGTTCCTACGGATTTGTAAACAGTGCAGTACACACTACACAGGAAGTCTTTTTCTTTTGTACATATATATAATACGCCTTGGTAGATGTAAATACATAAAAATATTGTCTGAAAATGTATAATACTAAGAAGTAGGAAGGTGGAGTGGGGTAAAAAATTATCGTATTTGGTCTTAGCACAAATCCTCGTATTGTTAACGATGTCTTTTAAATCCCAAATGTCTGCAAAAACACCAGGGGTTTATTACAAATAAGGACATAGGGCGCAAGGTAATAAGGCAAGGAAAATTAATTGCTGTTGCGTATTCTCTGCGCACATAAGAATAGATGCATCAGTGTTATTCTAGTGTCCGAGGAGGATAAAAACATTTAATATAGAAAATTTTGACAATTCACATAATAGTTTCCTATGACCAAACCATTCTATTTATTTTTTATGTGAAAGATGGATCCCATGTCAGGCTGTGAGATTCAGTCTTATGTTTACTTAACAGCCCAGAGACAGTACACTGCAGTACTAAAAATGCGTACACCTTTGAAATAACTATCTTTACGTCATAATTCTTTGTTAATTATATGGCTTCACTAAACGAGCAGCTAATTATTAAAAGTGCGCTTGCAATCTTTGATAAGCACATAAATTCACAAGCACGCAAAAAAAGAAGAATAAAAAAGACGAAAAAACAGATCAAAACTAAAATTTATAAATAGCAAAGCAGCCAAAAGTAAACAGAAAAAATGGATAGTCCAAACTAAATTTTACGAAACGGAAAAAAGAGAAAAAATGCCTTAAAATAAATACCAAAATACACAGATTATTATAAGCTGACAAATTCCAAAACAGATGTAAAATAAATTGACAATTGCCAAAACAGCAAAGAGTAAACAGACAGAAACTAATACTGAGATATAAAGACAAAGCAGACAAATACCTAAACTGACTGAAACCCTTTTTACAGTCAACGAGTATGGGTTCACACCCTTTGCTAATGGTGGATGTCAAAGTCTACTAAAGTCAACGAGTATGGGTTCACACCCTTTGCTAATGGTAGATGTAAAAGTCTACTACAATCAACAAGAATGGGTTCACACCCTCTGCTAATGGAAGATGTCACAGTCTACTACGTCAACGAGTATGGGTTCACACCCTTTGATAATGGTAGATGTCAAAGTCTAATACAGTCAACAAGAATGGGTTCACACCCTCTGCTAATGGTAGATGTCAAAGTCTACTACAGTCAACGAGAATACATTGCTACTTTTGCTGAATCAATATGTATTTATAAGTTCAATGAATGAATTCCTGAAAATGTTTTGATTATTTGAGTGTTGACTAAATATCTACTATTAAATGCACAATGAATGTATATTTAGTTGAGATTTCAATATGTACACTTTGTTTCAACAAATACGATCAAAAAAAATTATCAAACATTATATTTTCAATTGCTTTATAATAAATTTTCTTTTGTGTTTTATTTTAAGCTGAACCCTCATACATTATTATTTTGTATTTTGTGTTTGAAAATAAATACTTTAACTTTAATACTGAGATATAAAGACAAAACAGACAAATACTTAAACAGACAGAAACTAATACTGAGGTTTGAAGACAAAATAAGACAAATACCAAGACAGACAAAATCCTAAAACAGACAGAAACTAATACTGAGATATAAAGACAAGATAAGACAATTACTAAAACAGACAAAATGCTAAAACAGACAGAAACTTATACTGAGATATGAAGACAAAATAAGACAAATACTAAAACAGACAAATACTAAAAGCAATTATACCAAAGCAGAAAACTAAAACAGACTGAAACTGTAATTGGCAAATAGACTAAACAGACAAATATTCAAAATAGAAAAAAATACCAAAACAACCTAAAAACAGGCCAAAACCCCCTTTTTAAAAAAATGGTTACTTAAAGCCCTTCTACAAAATACAAAAACAAATCGCAAAACTGACAATTTACCCAATTGATGCAACATTTCATGGCAGGCTGAATCTATGTGACAACATTNATTAAGTTTTCTTTTTGAAATGACACTAGGTCTGTTCTCAAATAAGTGAACACCCTGGTTAATATGTAATTATCGTCTAAATTGCCGGCTAATTGGGTTTACTATACCCTAGCACGATAAAACTAATCTAGTTACTATTTCCTTTATTCAGTGGTCGGCGTTTATATCAATACAATAAAGACGACTTTTCTATTCAAGTTTTGATTTCTAACAAACTCTTTATCAAATTATAAGTTTACAAGAAAACAAGAATTGAAGCTGTTAATTGACAGTTTTTTTATAATTCCATTTTTATGAGTAGGATGACCGGGTTTGTTTATTAATTGTTAAAATTGTTTCCATAAATATTTGTGGGTTTATTTATTTGATTTCAATGAACGTCCTAACGATAGAACTGATTGGTCCAAAGTTTATTGTGGAAACTAACATGATGACAATGTCCGATCTATCCTTAAAAACTTTGCCTACTCAAAAATTATTTAGATATCAATATTGATAATTTTAAAAACTGATTGATTTCAATTTTGGATTTCGACAAAAGTAAATTGCGCATTTCTGCTCCAGGAAAACATATAAAAATTATCAGAATTGAACACTTTTAAACATATTTAAAAACGACAATATCTTTGAACGGAAGGTCCCTTTTTAACACTCTCTTTAAGACTAAAATTACGCGTACAGTCCCTTTTTAACATTCTCTTTAAGACTAAAATTACGAGTACAGTCCCTTTTTAACATTCTCTTTAAGACTAAAATTACAGTCCCTTTTTAAAATTCTCTTTAAGCCAAAAATTACGCGTAAAGTCCCTTTTTAAAATTCTCTTGAAGACTAAAATTACCCGTACAGTCCCTTTTTAGCACTCTCTTTAAGAATAAAATTACCCGTACAGTCCCTTTTTAACGCTCTCTTTAAGACTAAAATTACGCGTACAGTCCCTTTTTAACATTCTCTTTAAATCTAAAATTACCCGTACAGTCCCTTTTTAACACTCTCTGTAAGGCTAAAATTAGGCGTACAGTCCCTTTTTAACACTCTCTTTAAGAAGGCATGTTTGAATAAATTCTAAGATAAAGGGATAATAACCGCCAGCTGCTCACACAGTTTTAACTTGTTCTTATTCTTAAAGGCACTGTAAACCTTTTTTTGAGAAATTTAATAAAGTAACATTAATTTTGTTAATAATTCTCGTAGTGACTTGATCTTGAAAAATGTCCTTGAGAGGTAGATTTGAGTGCAAAAAAGGTAAATTTGAGTGCAAAAAAGGTAAATTTGAGTGCAAAAAAGGTAAATTTCAGTGCAAAAGAAAAATTCTGGCGCTCAGAGATTTCATTTACGAACAAATTTGAGTACCATGTTTGTTTTTAAATATGTGCGTGGTCCCTTTAAGACCTGCCATGACTGTTGCAAGCTGTTAACAAAAGTTATAAAAAAAGAATCTCTTAGTTAAAATTTTAAATTAAAAAATTTGACAATTGAACTTCTGCACTAGTTCAAATTAGTGGAATCAATCTAAATGGGTTCAGCATTAAAGTTTGCTTCAATAATAAAAAAACCTTCAGAAGCAATTTACAAAATTACTCGTAAATTTACAAAATTACTCGTAAATTTTCAAAATTACTAAAAGAATGTTCGCTTTCAAGCTTTTTGATTAGAGCTTTTTATGAATTATCAATTACAACGTATCCATCTTAAACTTTTCTTTAACATTAAAAAAAGGGAATTTCACCAATACCCCCCAAGATGTGAGCGCTCTGGCGCAAAAATCGAGCAGCATTTTGTCAATTACTCCTTTTAAACCTATACTGGAGACAAGCCAGATAGATTCAGCCTGCTTTTGAAAAGTTTCATCAATTTTTAAGACAAGGACAACTTTGAAGTGTCTCAACGCCTTGGGCTTTGATTGAACTTTTCTGTAGCCCTTTACTTGTACATTTTAGCACAATAAACACTTGTTGTTAGCTTTGGTTTTTATGAAGTAATTGGCAAAATTCCCATAGATTTTGGCCTAAGAGCTTGAGACCTTTAAAGCACATGTGAAGCGCGTTACAGTTTAAAAATTTGATGAATAACTTTTATAGTTATCTAGAGTTCAGTGCCAGGGTAAACTAAATGCTATATGTTATTAAATTAGTAAGCCATAACTTTGGAACCCATTTTCACCCAGTAAACGATATATATTTTAGATATTAATGTATATATTCCGTTATTACACTCTATTTTCG